TGTTCTACTTTACTACTACTACTACTACTACTACATTACTACTAATATTAGTAGTAATGTGACTGAAATACACTACTGCTACTACTACTATTGAAAAGACTGAAATTCACTACTACTTCTACTACTACTACTACCATTTTAGTTAACAGACATCACTACTATTTTACTGCTCCTAAGGAAGCGCTCTTTAACTGAAATTCACTACTACTACTACTACTAATACTAATAATAATACTATTTTAGTGATTTCAATTTATTATTGACGGGACTTCTTTTCTAATAATATTACATAAATTACACCCACCATTAAGTGTACTATATATGTACACACATTTAATATCTAAAAATAATTGCATTTATTATAATTCCTCTGTATTTTCAAATTAATGAAACTACTAATTTAAAAGTTAAAGGGACAGCTTAAAAAATAAAGCCCGACAGAGCACCAGCTACTCCCAAACCTGTCGACAGTTTTAATACGAAATCCTTTCTTTGTGTTTACGAGCTGAAAAGGGCCGAAATGATATGCAAATCGTTGCTGAAGCCTGGCGGTTTTTCGTGCTTTTTGTGGACAGCTTATGAAAACACGCGAGTGATGAAAAAGTTTTGTGGAAAACTGCCAAATAACAAACGTAAGCCAATGACAAAGGCAAGCAAATAAAATTATGAAATGTTTAATGCAGCGCAACATGCAATGCAATTACGCACGCAGAGATCCAAAGTGGGCGAAGAGCCGACCGGTTGGGGAGGCGGGGCCAGGGGAGAGTTGGCAAAACTTGTGACAAAAGTGCCGGAAAACTTTTTGCCATAGTCTGATGAGAAACGTTTTCCGCGGGCTTAAGCCAATTTGTGCCAAACACAGCTAAAGCCGATGGCAAAAAACGGAATCAGAGACAGAAACTGAATATGCATCAGAATCAGAATAAGAATGAGAAAAAGAATGCGAATGCGAATGCGAAACAGAATCAAAATCGAGCAAAGTCGGAGACAAAGTTGCCTCGGTTTGTAGCCAACTTAAAGTTGCAACAAAGTTTTCAGCGGCATAATGAGCATTGCAGATTAAAGCTAATATACCCTTAAACGGAATCTGCGTAAGAATCTGGGTAAGAATCTGGTTAAGAATCTGCGGCTCGTTTGCTCGTAATTATTGGCAATTTCATGGCAATAAAATCACAAGCGTGCAAAATTATGAATGATAACATTGAGCCACAGAGCAGGTGGACTTATGGAGCACTCAAAGCGATTCATCGCCTGCCCTTAATCTGCCTCAAAAGGCAGCCAGCAGCTGGCAACAGGCCTGTTGCACTTGGCCTCTTATATTTTTGGGGCGTGCACCGCTTAAATAGCCGCAATTTTTATATTAAAATGTATATATATTAAAGAAAAGTGTATATATATATTTGGGAAACTCGTTTGTAAGGCATCAAGGTGTGAACGCGTCAATGTGGCAATGCGGCAATGCGGCAATGAGCGTCAAAGAGCCAAAGTCAAAGCTAAAGCAAAAGCAACAACTGAAGCTAAAGCCTCAAAGGCTCAAGGCGAAACCCAGCAACAGCTGATGCCGAACAGACCCTTGCGTTGCCCTTGCACGCTCTCTGCGCAATTAGGCCCTTTTTTGTAATTAATAAAAAAATGATAACAGTAAACGGCGAAATAAATAAAATGTAAGTATAAATATGCTTATATACAAAACAAAACAGTCTTTACTATGTGTAAGCTATATACTATGAGCTCTAGTCTGTTTATAGCCTTGCTACTGATTTTACCATTTCTTATTCACCATATCAGGTAAGTAAAAGTGAGTGGGGAATGCAAAATCACTTGCTTTTGATACTCTTGATCATCCCATGTACACAATTCAAGGAGCCAAACTAGAAACACTCCTCACATAGTTCTTAGTTGATAGTTGATATCCATTCATACATCCAGCTCACTGCAGTCTACACTCAATTCTGTTTATAACATCATTTACGCTTTTTAAAATTTTAAAGTTTCTTCTTAAATGAAACCCAACATTGAAAAAAAGTCTTAAAAAAAATTAAATCATATAAAATAAATAAAATAAAAATAAGAATGATAAAGGAATCAAAGAGAGCAAATGTACGTATTATCTGTGTTATATATATCTCGGCTAACATCCTGTTAAAGTCCTCCCATAGGCTCGGTCAGGCCTTTTTAAATTTTTATAAATTCATTATACCTGGATTTTCCATTTTCAATTAGTTGAAAGGATTGTGTAAGCTGCAAAGGATTTTTTATATTTCCAGATTTTAGCAGTTGTAAAATAAATTTCTAAAATTTAATAATATTTGTATTAAATGGCATACATATAAAATTATACATATATACTTTATAAAGTATATATATTTTTCTTTTTATGCACATCCTGAGATTATCTGATTATTTTCTCATTATTTTTTTAAATTTTTTATAATGTGATTGATTTTTAGTTCAAGTAGTTCATGCTATTCTTAACTTATTATATATCA